CACTTTGCTATCATGCTCTTGATTTCTTCGACTGAATATGGGAGGTTGCGTGTGCGTACAAAATGCACCATTCGCGTCATTCCGGGGTGACATAATGAATCGTGCAGTTCTCGCAGTTTTGTGTTGTTAAAATTGGAAGCACTAGTACAGCGGGAAAGCGTATCGGCTACTTGATTATCTTTTCCGGGTCTGTAGATTATATCGTAGTGAAAGACAGACAATTCGAGTCGCCACCTCTGGATTTTATCGTTTTTAGTTGTCTGTCCTCGGTCACACATGAATGCTACGGAACGTTGATCGGTGACGAGTTTGAAGTGGGTGCCAAGAAGATAGTACCTCCACTTGTGTAAGGCCTCCACGATCGCGCACGCTTCCTTCTCTACTGCAGATTGATGTTTTTCGCTAGGAGTCAGAGTGCGTGAGAAAAAGTTTTCAGTTTCAGTTTGAACAACCATTAACCATGCACTTTCGTGCGCCGGTTTTGGTTGCTGTCTTTTGGCTGCCCATTGGAATGAAGAATAGGAGAAGAAAGGGATCCCACTTGAGCATTGAAGTCCCAGGCGACTACTACGACGTCCGTTGATTGAGCACTTTGAAGTAGCTGAGACAGATCCTGGTAGAATTCATCTTTGATTTCAGGTATACTGCAATCGGTCGGTGCATACGCCGATACGACGAATAAGCATCGCTTCATTCTGTAGCTGTTGACTCGAACTGAACCGTTGAGACGTACAGCGCACAATCGGCTACTGACGAATCCAGTCAAGAAGCGAGCGCTCAGCCTTGGCACTTAGCGCAATCCCGACACCAGCAACACCGCGAGCTTCGGATGCCGAATCGCCTGACACACGAAGGGTGAAGCGTGAGGTTGAGGTTGGTTCAGGAGAACGCAGAGAGATAATGGAAGTAGGATCTTGTATGCGTGTTTCGGAGACACAACATACATCTACATTGAAAGTTTCGAGAGTTTTAGCCAGGGCAGCTTGTTGACCAATCTGATAGAGTGTGCACGTGAGAAAAAGGCTACCGGTCGGTTATTCTGACTAAGTGAGGTGGCTATTGCGACATCCGATGCGTCCGTCTCAACAACCAGCGGAAGATTGTAGTTTTCGGCGACAGTCTTAGCGTTTTCCAAATCGGACTTTAGGTTCTCGAATGTGTGTTTAACGGTCGGCTGTAATGGAAATGTTTTATTTTTAGAGGATGAAGTTTGTCTGAAAAGTGGGATATCCATTGCGAATAGTAGGCAAGCATACCGATGACTCGTCGAAGGGATTTTGCATCCGTCGGAGGAGGCATATCGCGTAACGGTTTCATTCGGTCAGGGTCCGGTTTGATTACGCCCTGGGATATGTGGTAGCCTACAAGATCAATTTCTTTAGCGGACGTGACCCATTTTATCAGTGTTTAGTGTTATACCGTACTTAGCGGCCGTCTTCAGAAATCGTTCGAGATTCCGGTCGTGGTTTTTCATAGTCACACCACACGGTGACGTCGACGTAGGCAAAAGTATCTTTTAGGCCTTCGGTTGCCAGAATTTCATCGATGGTGCGTTGGAAGCACGCAACGCCACTGGTAACGCAGAAGGGTATTCGGCAGAACTGGTATAGCCGGCCGCCTGCTTCAAAGGCGGTCTATGGTCTCGTGATGTACGATTGGAATCTGATCATATGCACTTTTTAGATCCAGTGTACTGTACGTAGCGTAGCGGGAAATTCGTTCAACCACGTTGTCAATTTTGGGTAGCGGATAGGCATCTAGCTGAGTGAAGCGGTTGCTTGTCTGACTGTAATCCACGACCATCCTCTTATGATGAGAATTTCTGGTCACAAGGACCTGGGCTCTCCAGGGGGAATTAGATGGCTCAACGATACCGTCCGCCATGAGGCGCTGTATTTCTGCTTGAATAAAACGCTCGTCCTCTGTAGAATGCCTTCGAAACTTGGCAGCGATGGGTTTACAATTTTGAGTGGTGATTGAATTTTAGCAGCGGCGAGTCCACACAACATGAAAGTACCACGATCGCCACCGAATGGTATTTCCACCTTTTCGTGTAGG